CAGTTGACCCGTGCAAGAAGGCCGAGAAAACACAGCGGGAGGTCAGTCAACACCTTCACCCGCGGTTCCCCTCCAGCTGCCAACTGCAGCTGCAGCCCTAAATCTCGCACACGTACAAACACCTCAAAACCTTTGGCTTGTACATCATCCCCTTCCGCGTACTGTTAAAAAGCTGCAGTTGCCCCCCTCTCCCCTTCCCTCCCCGTTTTCTCTGAACAGTTATTTATTAAAACTGTCTGAGCTGAGCATGAGTTTCGAGAACTGCAAAACCCTTTTCCATTTCCTGTGGCTTTAAACGTAAGCAGCAAAGCAGAGCAGCCCTAAGTAGCACACCGCAGCACTACCATTAAATGTGCTGCGCGCACGGTTACGGTACAGATAAACACACATGCGTGTGTCGCGCTGCCACAACCACATCCTTGGTAATGGTAGAGAAATGTGAGTGAGAAAATGACTCTGAATCGTCTTCTAAAGTGAAGTATCAGCGAGTGTCAGCACCACAGTAAAACCAGTAGAATGACTGCACCGGGAGCTGACGTGCATCTTTCCAGCCTCTGACATTTAATAAACACAGACAATTACACTTCAGGCACTCACTGTCATATTCTATTTAAGTGATAAAACACATCTATTTAACCTGCTGAAAACCTCTACTCGCTATTATTACTCACTTTTGCGGAAAAACGTTCATCAGGCTTCGGAGATCGTTTTAGAAAAAACTAAAACATGCTGTAAAATGAGTGCACAGGCACAGAGGCATTAATGGACTAAGTTCATCAGTATGGTAAACAGGCAGAATCTTACAATCTTTGGTGGATCACTAAAGGTAATATTTGCTACAGTTAATTGCCAAAGACGTTACACTAGATTAGTTTCCGGTAGAGTTATCTGCTAAAGCAGAGCGCCATTGTTATCAAGCAGCATGTTCAGGCACAAAGGGATCAATAGCAAGTAAAAAAAAAACAAGTAAAAAAAATGTTCCTTAGAGTTCTCTAGACCTCTACATATCTGATACTCCGCTTTTAGATGTTTTTGTTGGATTTGTTTGCCTACGAAAACTGTTCATTTTACAGCAAAACATCATACAACCATCACTCTCCTCTTTTTAGCGCTCCCTGCTGACACAATCTAGGAGTTTACCGAAAAGGAGTTTTATCCAAACTAAAATTGATGTTTTTTATAAACTCTTTAAATGAAAACACCAAAGCAAATTTGGTATATTTTGAATATCGCAACACCGAGCTTTACTGTTCCTCCAGGGTTCTAATCGGACAACTCTCGAGCACAAGTGCTGTCCATGAACCTCAGCCAGCAGGTTAGTCCTGTTGAATCTGAACTGAACTGACCCAGGGTTAACGTGACGTCAATGAGCGCCCGGCTTGGTGTCGAGCCAAGAGGAGCTTTGTGTTGTAGGTTGTCTGTTTTGTCCAAGGAGGTAGATTTAGGTTACCATCCAGGAATTTCCCTGAATGTGGTTTAAAAGTGCGATAGCGTCTGAAATATTCAGGTTGAGGATCAACCGTTTGCTCCTTTGTGTTTTAAGTCATTCTTGGTAACAGGAGGGTTCCTAATTACTGCGGTAGTATTATAGAACATAAATATTTAATGACATATAATGCGAGAAAACATCAAGAACATGACATTTTTCACTTCAGAAATTCATCATGTGGGCCAGATTGAATCCACCAGTGAGCCGGTTTTGGTCCACGGGCCGTATGTTAAAATTCATCATGTGGGCCACATTGAACCCCCCAGTGAGCCGGTTTTGATCCACGGGCCATATGTTTGATATTGGTTTCCCATTGTAGACTAAGAAAATGACATGTTTTTAAGCTATTTCAACTAAAGTAGGTTCAAGGTTCATTGACCGTACACTTCCACCTTAATACAATCAAATCTGAACTCTCTTGCACGTCTTTCATTTCCTCTCTAAAATAAAAAACATTGACACCAGCGTTGCTCAGGCACATGTGCAGATGGCTAAAAACAGATTTAAATACAGTGGTTCATTGTGCCTCGCCATTCAACCTCTGAAGGAACCAAGGCGTACGTACCGAGTGGGGTAGATACGGGGTCAAGTATTTGCTGCTTGAAGAAAAAATACGATTTTTTTTGGACCAGCTGGTGGATATCCTTGAATATCCCTGGAAAACACAAGTGATGTTTGTACAGCTGACAACGCGAAGGTGTTCAGGGTGAGAAGGCTAACGGGGCCTGGGTGGTACAGGTTATGTAACACTCGTTCCCCCCCGGGCCGAGTCGCAAAGTTATTTTCTGCAGAAGATAAAAAGGATGTGTGCCATCTAAATCCTGCACACATGGTTCTGGTTTTTCTGTGGGGGTTTGAACCGTCAGCTTCAGGCATCGATCTGAACGATGAAGCTTCCACTGTAAATCCACGTGTCTCCCCCCCCCCCCCCCCCCCCTCGGAGAAGTGGAGCTGCTGCTGGGTTGTGTAATTGTCGAATTCCAGAAAAGGATAATCCCCTGCACTGTACGTAGATTCTTATGAGTTAATGAAGTGAAAACTACAGGTCGGGTCTCATGCAGCGCCGTATCCGGTTACTAGCCACACACGCATTTCTGTCTCGCACTTTCTCAGGCTTCTTTACAGTTTAAGATCTGGCCTGAAAAAAAAAAAAAGGAATTTTAAGGCTGTTTGTCTCTTGTCAACTTTCAAAACATCAGGCTACGTTAGCGCTTATCTGAGCCTCGTGTACATCAATATGAACGTTCTTATCTTCGCTATTACTCCAGACGAGGGGAGAGAGCATGTCGAGGTGGGGTTTCCCTAAAATGATACTAATATGTGAATGGACTTTGCTCCTCCAAGCCAAGATATGAGAGGATGATATCTAATCATGACGAGTGTGTGGACCAGTTGCACTAATGTTAACGGCTGAAATATTGCCAGAGAGGAAGGTTGTGTTTGTGCAGCCTGAAGCCTAACTGATTGGGCCAAGCAAAGTGAATAATCCGAAATGAAAGTAAGCCGAGCTGGACTGGACGGCTGCCCGGGTTCTGAAGCCTCATGTTGAGCCCTCCTTTTCCTTCTTCTGTTTTTTCTTCTAGTGCCGCCGGCGGTGAAATCTTTAACCAATGTGTCGCCGACAACGCCGAAGACGCCTTCACAGAAAAAGACGTGATCCGGTTGGCCAGGCAGATCCTGTCCGGAGTGGCCTTCCTGCATCGTAACAACGTGGTGCACCTGGATCTGAAGGTGAACTCAATATAACGTCTTCTGAAAGTGCAGCACGGTGAATTCCTCCCCCCGGGGGCGGACACCAAGGAGATACGATGTCCGTTATGCAAACGTTTCATTCACTCTTTGTTCCACAAACCTCATTTTGAGGCTAACGGTTCTGTGTAGGAGTCAGGGCGAAAGATCGAGTTTACTGCGGCCGTGCCTGGAGCTAACTGGAAGGCCGCCATTGAAGATTTGTTTCTATTCTTACGCGTCTTCTGCGAAACCTTAACCCAGTCTCCTGTTACAGGTTATACAATGCTTTTGGAGCATACATGTGTTCTAGCTTATGCTGCAACGTAATCCAAATCCATAGTTTCCGGTTCCTAGCGTCCTTGTACAGTGGGCCACATCAGATTATTCCCAAGTGCGACTGGAAAAAAGTAGCTTTAAACATATCTGTTGAAATGAGGCGAAAGATCATTTTTAAGACTTGAATAAAACACCCAAAATAAAGCCAGTGGGAAGAGTGAGATGAACATTCCAGACACCACACAAATATGTCTGGTCTAATATAAGTGGTCAACTAAAATGGTATAGTCAAATGGGCCATACCACCAAATTGTGTTGTAAAAAGTAATCATGGTTTGGCGGCAGTTTGGGGCAGACCGGTCGTAATGAGCACACATGTACCTCATAGAACTTATGTTTTCAACCGCCTTTGGCAGTAAACACAGTAAGTCTGATCAGACTGATCTCTGATCAGCTTAGTGAAGGATCTAGTTAAAGGGGGCCGGCTCAGGAAAATAGGCCGCACATCTACTACATTCTACCTTGACCTCAGACGTAAGACCTGAGGCTCCGTTACGTAACAACCCTTTATCTAATCTGCGTGTCGTTCTTCTCCAGCCTCAGAACATTTTGCTGACCAGCGTCAGACCTCTGGGGGACATCCGTATCGTGGACTTCGGCCTGTCCAGACGGATGGACAACATCACGGAGGTCAGGGAGATCCTGGGTACACCGGAGTATGTGGGTGAGTCCAACTACCAACCACTGCATCGCCCCCTGTCTTCCCAGCCTGACGTGTCATTTATCGATGACTAACTGTGGCCCTGTGTTCCGTTGCAGCGCCAGAGATCCTGAACTATGAACCCATCAGCACCGCGACTGACATGTGGTGAGTTCAAGGCTGCAATTAAAGGGAAACTCTGATGGATGTCATGAAAAATATGTGGGGTTTGGTTTTTTTTTCTCAAACATCCAGTAACTTTTTTAGGATAAACACAAGCAACGCACCAGGAGGTTTTATTAATATATAATATACTACTGTAAAAAAAGAGCTAGCATAACAACACACAGTTAACAAGCGGCAAGAAACAGCCCTAAACCATGACAGAGCCTGGCTAAAGTTGAAGATTTGACTCTTACTTTTTTATTTTAGATTTTTTTACAATGTCATTTATATTATTATTATTATTATTATTATTTTATTATTTGTTGACAAGTATTATTTAGTTTTCCAGAAATGTCTCTTTTTTCAAATACATTTTTCATTTGAAATACAGTATATTGCCACAAGGTGGTGTTATTATTTGTTGCGTGTGTAGCTAAGGCATAAAGGAGAAGTGTTGTGTAGTCATCGACGATGACACATGTCTGTACTTATTTCCTCTCTATCAGGAGTATCGGGGTTTTAACCTACGTCATGCTGACCGGCGAGTCTCCCTTCCTGGGTGACGACAAACAGGAGACATTTTTGAACATCTCCCAGGTCAACGTAGACTACTCAGAAGACACGTTTGAAGGCGTTTCCTCCCTGGCTGTAGACTTCCTCAAGTCCTTGTTGGTGAAAAACCCCAGGTGAGTCTGGCAATAAAAAAAGAAAAAACAAGATTGTGCTGTTGCTGAGTCAAATTGCAAAATTTACAGCTGGGTCTTTGAGGATGTGAGTCAGGCTTCACGTCAGCGCGGATGTGCATCCGCCTGTCTTTAAAAAAAAAGAAAAAAAAAAGCGTATTTCTTCACATATGTGAGAAAACACTTCCTGTCTGACGCAGTGGTTTCAAAGTTGGTCACACAATCTTCAAACAAAAATTGTCTTCACATTTCCCCAGACACTAATTGTTCAACTTCACAAATCAGCAAATCAAAAAAAAAAAAAGGCGATTTCCAATGAAAGCCAAGCTCCGACCATAGCTGTGATTTAATGTTGCCTTTTCTCACATCCAGAGCCACAGTGAGTCAATATCGTTTAAATCCAACAGTTCAGTGGTGACACTGGAAAAAAAAAAAGAAAGAGTACGATTCCAGAGTCTGAGGGAATCTTCAGTTCAAAATACCTCGTGGTTTTTCCAAAACCAAACGAGTAAGACAGCCAACCCCAGCGAGGGGATGAACTGTTCAACAGAGGGTCCGGGTTCGATCGGCTGCTTATGTAAACTCGTCGGGATTTTTTTCCACACATCCTGACTGTTATTGTATCTGTGTGTGCAG